GCCTCACTTCGGGCAGCGAGGCTGTCTGCAGCAGGTGTCTCACTCCACACCCGGTGTCAGACATCTGTTGCAGGTCACTGACAGGCAAACTCAGCCACCACACTGACCCCAGAACTGAGACCAAAGGAGCAGACTAGGCAACCCATACAGCCAGCACCTCAGGGACCCCACATGCATGGCCCAGGAACAGAGACCAAGGACAGAGACAGAATTGGATTGAGCCTCTGGCCAAGGCTGGACAGACAAATTCACCAGGACAGACCCTACTCGTGGCATGGGCGGGACAGACTGCAGTGCAGTGACACCCACTCAGGGGGGTCTTCTGGCTAAGTGAGACAGCCTTGGGCAGCAAGAAACAAGAGAGGTCGAAGGCAAAACCAGACCTAGGCCAGGGTACTCAGAAGGTGGAGTGCCACGTCCCTCCATGGTGCACACTTTAGGGGCCCAACACCCCCAGCTCTTTGGAACTAGCCTTCCACCTATATCTTCAGGGACATCTGACAGCAGATAGGAACTCACAAGGCTAATGTAGTCTCAAAATACACTGCAGGCTTAAGTGGGTGTTTAAAGAAAGTAACTATAAAAAGAACAAGGTTTAAGGACTAGAGGGATGGCTCAGAGGTTAAGAGCACTTGTTACTCTTGCAGAGGACCTGGGTTCGAGTTTCAGCACCCACATGTTGACTGACAACCATTTGTAACTCCCTGTCTGCATGTATCCCTGCAGGCCAGAAAAGGGCACCAGATCTCATTACAGATGGTTGTGAGCCACCATGTGGTTGCTGGGAATTGAACTCAAGACCTCTGGAAGAGCAGCCAGTGCTGTGCTCTGAACTTGAGTCATCTCTCCTGCCCCAAAATAAATAACAAAAACAAACAAACAAACAAACAAACAAAAAACAACAGATTTTAAGACAAACAAACATCTGTCTTCCCCTGGGAAAGGAGAGATGAGACAACCCTGAACCCCCTGTCCTTTCTTCAGCGCTGTGTAAAAACTGCCACCATGGCCAGTGCCCCAGGCTCTGGGTCACAAAGATCAGTTAGTCTAGCTGGGCCTAGTGACTCATGCCTGTAGTCACAGCTTAGGAGATGAGCAGAAGGATCACAAACTCAAGGCCAGCCGGAACTACTGAGTGAAATCAAAGGCCAACTGGACAACTGTGGGCCTCTGTCTCAAAACACAAACAAACAAAACAACAATAGAAAGAGGGCCTAGCAAGATAGCCTCAAAGAGAAAAGTGCTTGCTGTCAGACCTGGGTTCAATCCCAGATCCCATGGGAAAAGGAAAAACTGACCCTCAAAAGCTGTCCTCTGACTGACTTCTACATGTGCGGGATGGTACACGCATGCCTGGAGGCAGGCGCCTGTGTCCACACGCACATACATATACCTACACACACACACACACACACACACACACCATATTCACTTATACACAATGAGAAAAAACTAAAGTTAAAAGAAGGGGGTGCTGGAGCTGGGCGTTGGTGGCTCATGCCTTTAATCCCAGCACTTGGGAGGCAGAGGCAGGTGGATCTCTGTGAGTTTGAGACCAGCCTGGTCTATAACAGCGAGTTCCAGGACAGCCTCCAAAGCCACAGGGAAACCCTGTCTCGGAAAAAAAAAAAAAAGGGGGGGGTGCTGGGGAGCCAGCTCAGTTGGTAAACTACTAGCCACACAAGCATGAGGACTTGAGGTAAGACTCCCCAGAACCTAGGGAGCCCCAGAAGCGGGAACAGCCACATGCACCTAATATCCCAGCACTAGGCAGGTGGAAAAATGGAGATTCCTGGAGTTGACCAGGCTGCCAGTACAGCCAATAGGTGAGGAGATCCAGGGAGAGACCCTGTCTGAAAAAAGATAAGACAGTGAGTGACTGAAGAAAAGAACCTGAAGGCTGGCTATTCACATATGCACACCCACACGAACGCCAAAGACAGTAGCCAATGGTTGTTTAAAAAAATCAAAACAGACAAAAAACAGTTCAGGAGCTAAAGAGATGGCTCAGCAGTTAAGAGCACCTGCTGCTCTTGTTCAGTACCCAGAACTTACACTCGGCTCATAATTCCAGTTCTAGGGGACCCAACACCCTCTTCTGACCTCTGCAGAAACCAAGCCTGCAGGGGGTGCACAGACAGACAAGAAAGCAAAGAGCAGACACACACACATAGGCAAGACACGAGGAAGACACGAAATGTCAGTGGGCTGAAAGAGGGCTGCCTGAGATTGTGGTTCCATCTCAGGGACTGCTCCCGAGTTTTCTAGTTTACAGAGCTGTCAAACAACTCAAAGAGATGAATGGAGACCTTCCTCCTGATGTTTATGCCGATCCCAGCCATGGGACTGAAGCCTCTGGCCAGCCCTGTCACAGGACTGCAGCTCCCAGAGCTGGGACACACAGGGAGGCTTCTGCAGCCTTTGGAAGAGTATGAGGTGAACTTTACACTGTAATCCTTGTAAAACAACTGTGAAACCCCAGCTCTTCCCAGTCAAGCCAAGAACCACCCTCCCCCAAACCAACTAAGATCACAGGCACAGGCCCCTGGGTTCAGCGCCAGGGCAGTTTGGCAGGCACTCCAAATCCCCATAAGGCTGAATTGGGTTCTGAAGCACCGAGCAGAGCTCAGGCCAGATTCCTGACTGGACTGTAGACTAGCCACTCTCCCTCCAGCAGGCCTGGGCAACCCCTCTCCACCCTACCTCCTGAGGGAGCCTGTCACCTATGCTTGTCCACGCCATCTCTTCCAGCCCTGGTCACCCAGCCAAGTCCTTTCTGCCTGACCTGAGACACTCGCAGAGGCCATGCCTCCTAGGTCACCTGTCAGAGAGCCTCCCCTCCCATCCTGGCATGGACATGGAGTTTCTGCCGGACCAGACTTTATGAGGATGCACCAGAAACAGTAAAATTTTCATCAGGTAAAAACACCTAACATAAAGGCTCCCTTGGAGCGCAACAGGGAAAATGTTGAGAAAGCTAGTCTATAGCCAGTGGTCTAGCAATAATGAAAACATTTTCCCAAGAGCCTCAGCTTCTGTTCCTCACAAGCACTGCTTCTCACCCCCAACTGGGCTCTCCTACCCCACACCCCCACGCCCTATTTTAAATCTGCGCTTTACTGGGCTCTCCTGCAAAGTTATATCTGCCCAGCTCTGGGTGTTACACTGAAACTCATTCACAACAAGCACTTCTGCCCACTAAACCATCTCCCCAGGAACTGATCTTTGTTGTTTTGAAACAGCTGTGTAGCCCAGGCTAGTCATAAAGTCTCTACTATCCCGAGTCAGCCTTCCAAGGGCTGCAGTTACAGAGTTCAGGCTGTGTCCCAACACTACCCCACGTCCACCCCTTACTTTTTTGGCGTTTTAAGACACACTACTCACTGTATAGCCCTGGCTGGCCTGAACTCACTATGCAGACCAGGCTGGCCTTGAACCACACCTGACTTAACCTTACCATCATGCAGTTCAGGTGTGGTAAAAACACTCCGTGTTGGCTCAATTATCTTTACAGACATGAACGAAAGCAACAGTCTGTGTGCACAGATACCTAAGTGCAAAGGTAAAGTGCAGAATTGGAATGGCACAACCCCGGAGGGCAGGGACAGCTCAGTGACACACTTAGCATACCCAGGAATAGTCTCCAGGGCTCTAAGAAGTGAGAACTGCCATGAGCCTTCTCTTGAGGGACTCTCAAGAGATTTCAGAGTGGGGGGGGGGCAAGGCCAGCCAGTGGCAGCTTCCAGCCCCCAAAGCCCACTGTTCTGAGAACAGTGGCCCTGGCTCTAAGAAGCTGCAGGCCTCGCCCACTTGTGAGCAGCTGATTAGAGCGATGGAGGCCAGGTGTGGAGCAGAGGGAGGAAGATCTCAGCGAGTTCAAGGCCACCTTAATCTACACAGCAACTGGTAGTGCACGTGTAACACCAGGCATAGGCAGGCAGATCTATTTGAGTTCTAGGCCAGTGTAGTGAGTTCCAGAACAGTCAGGGTTACATAGTAAGGACCCACTTTAAGGAAAAGAATGAATGAAAGAATTTACAACAGCCACTGAGGTGGCTCACGAGGCAAAAGCACGTGCTGCCACACCTGAGACCTGAATTCCAGCCCTGGGACCCACATAGTGGAAGAAGGAAAACGATCTTCCAGGAACTGTCCTCTGAATCTACGCAAAGGCGCGCACACACACACACACAGGAATAAACCAATGTAAAAAGTTTTCTTCAGTTTTCGACAGTCACCAGCACTGACCGAGCGTGCCTTTTAAACATACTACGCGTACTCTGAAACAAACTCGCCTGGAGTGCCTGGAGTGACCACATTTTTTTTCTCCCACTCCGAAGCC